CAGGAGCCGCGCCCCGGTCGCCCAGGCATTCCAAGCCGCGCCGCCGCCCTGCCCTCCCGCCGGTCGCCCCTCCCGCCCTGCCCCGGCCGCCCTCCCGCCGTCCAAGCCGTGCCCCGGCCGCCCTCCCGCATTGGCCCATGATGTATCTTTGCTTTACTTTTCTATGTCCTATTTGATTCGAACAATTAGTGTAATTTGCTCAAACATTGTTGTAATAATTTGAATGATTATTGTTTTATTCGGTGTTGTAATAATAACTAGAATGATTATTATTTTATGTCAAATGTGATGGAATTTGTGATATGTCATATGATGAAATGTGTGATATATGAAAGGACAGTTTTAGAGGTTGGGGTTGAGGCAAAGACTAGAACCTGCTTTAAGGGTTGGGTTTGAAGGTTCTAATCTTTGTCCCTGTTTTTCAACTCTTAAAAATGTTAAAAACTGGCATTTCTCAACCCTTAAAATTGCTATAAGAGTTTGAGGGTTTGAGGGTTCTACTAGTAATGCTAAAGGAAAAAACTGGAGCGCGTGGAGGCCACCTCACCATCCCTCCCGCAAATCCCCCTCCGAAACAAGACAAGGGCACGACGAGCTGGACCATCAGCCGGGCAACGCAACCTCCACTCGGCGCAACCAACACCAACCCGAGCAATGGAGCTCCGCACCCTCGGCGGCACGGGCCTCCGCGTCAGCCCCGTCGGCTTCGGCGCCTCCCCGCTCGGCAACGTCTTCGGCGACGTCCCCCGCAACGTCGCCCGCGCCACCGTCCGCCGCGCCCTCGACCTCGGCATCAACTTCTTCGACACATCCCCGTAACGCCCCGCCACTCCCTCCCCTTCCTTCGCCCCCGCCTCCCGCGGGCCTGAGCCGCTTGCCGCTGTTCTTCGCAGGTACTACGGCGGCACGGTCTCGGAGTCGGTGCTCGGGGACTGCCTCCGCTTCGCGGGCGTCCCGCGCGACAGCTTCGTGGTCGCCACCAAGTGCGGCCGCTACAAGGAAGGCTTCGACTTCAGCGCCGCCCGTGTCACCCGCAGCATCGACGAGAGCCTCGCCCGCCTCGGGCTCGACTACGTGGACATCCTTCACTGCCACGACATCGAGTTCACTAACCTGGACCAGGTCGGTCTCGCCGCCCACCACCTGTTCGACGAATTCCCTCTACCACCTCTAACCCATGGTTGATCCTGTAACACTATGTATTGCTGTTTGGACGTTTGCAGATTGTGAATGAGACGATTCCTGCGCTGCAAAAGATCAAGGAGAGTGGGAAGGCGCGGTTCATTGGGATTACCGGATTGCCGTTGAGCATCTTCACCTACGTGCTTGACCGGGTGCCTCCCGGCTCGGTAGATTTGGTTCTGTCCTACTGCCACTACGGAATCAATGATACTGCGCTGGTGGATTTGCTACCGTACTTGAAGAGCAAAGGTGTTGGGGTGATCAGTGCTTCGCCCCTTGCTATGGGGCTTCTCACGGATAACGGGCCACCTGAGTGGCACCCTGCACCAGAACAACTCAAGGTATTGCTGTAATATACAATCTGTGTTCGTTTTCATCTGACTTTTTGCAGGACAAGCTATTTCTTCACAAATCACCTATTGTAGGTAGAATAACCAGATATAAGATACTGGTACTATCCTATTTTTAGAAGAAAACGACTAGCGCATAACACATTATGGTGTGCTGCCGCTGCCATGTCATCCTAGCCCCGCATCACAAGTGTTACCACATGGCTCAGAGCCGAGCGCTTGAAGGAATCTGACGGCACCGAGCACGTCGCTCCCGTAGACACCGATATGAACGTTCGCGCTGGATATTTCACTTTTTTCAATGCCCCAAAAAGGCGCCAAAGATGCACTTGTGTTGCTAGAATATGCAACCTCACACAGATAATGGAGCTTGAGAGCTGGCGGGTCACCAGCAAGGTGGTGCCGTCACCCTGGGGGCACCAGCAAGAAGCTTCTCAACCACCCTACCACCCTACTCTGACTTGATTAGCTACTGGTACTTCTTTCCTAGTAGAGAAGCTCTGACCACAAGCTCTGACCTGAATTGTTGTGCGCGGTAGGCCGGTAGCAGGGGTAGCAGGGAAACCATACTTTATTGATTATTGCTTGTATTCTGTAGTATACTCAAGATCCTTTATATGATCCTGTAGGCTAAGCCGACTCTGTGTCCTTGCTGGACTTTTACACATAGTGGTACCTAACAGGATTAAGCCCTGCACTTTCCTTTCTCTAGTTGACTTTGAAAGCTGAATAAAACTCCTGCTACTACTATTCCCCATGTAACAAATAAAGCAATGCTTGTTTGTAGGGGTTGTTGAGATGGAAAATGAGGGGCAGTTAAGAAAGATTAGTAGATTTTTATGAAATTGGACCAAAACATTCTGGACTACAATCTCAGTTATCTCAATTTGGGTGCTCATTTCTTTTTTTGTCAGTTCTAAAATACCAATTCAAGTATTTTGGTTTTGACAGTTCTTCGAAAACAACGGAATTTTAATAAGTAATTTCGCCTTAAAATTTTATTACTTCAAAATTTCATTGAATAAACTGTTTACATCATCATTGTGTGCACATGGATGTGGGTGTACGTAACTTCAAAGGTGTACTTTCTGACTAGAACATATTTTAAGAATTTTATTTGCAACAGGTTTAAAGTAGATAGCAACTGAAAATAAACATTTTTCATGCCAGAATCCTCATCTGACACTGATGAGTGGTGACCGTGTAGGTACGATACGGGTTGCATAGTGACGCATTTGGTAGGTTGCATCGTTTTTGGGTTATTTGCATCTGTGGCCTGACTCGGCCAGGCTGAGTGAAAACAGGCAAAAAACCATGTTCTGCACATAGTTTGCTTGCCTGTATCCCCTCCAGCCTGGCTAAGCAGAAACGCACGCATGGTATTTGGTTGCAGGCCTGTTCTAGGCAGATGCAAAGTGTTGTTGTTTGTTTATCGGCAAGACATATGGTCTGTTAACCTCTTGTTGAAGTGGTGAGTTTACCAGCACACACACAGGCACATCATATAGGCAACTAATAACAGGCATAGCGTAAACAAGAGTCTTACTCACAGGCAGTTAACTGACAAACAGTTGCGGGCAAACTCTTAAACTAAACATCCAACGCAAAAGTCTTAAACTGGTGCAGAGATAACACCCTAACGATCCATGGCAAATGTCTCCTCGTGCCTCTTGCATTTGGTCACCACCTCAACGTCGTCGTCGTTGAAGACAGTCACCTTCAAGGTGTCGGGAGTCGCCAGCTTGAAGGTGACGAGGTACCCGATCTTGATCTGGTGAGCAATGGCAAAGAGGGCCCAACCCTTAGGTGAGCCTGCTGTTGATCGTTCGGACCGTGACCTTCCAGGCGCAGCCGGTGTTTGTGGAGGTCTGGGCAAAAAAAAACAAATTATTCCATCCCAAAAATTTGAAACGCATGTGAAACTCACATCAATGTTTGTTGGCAAAAAAATTAGATTATTTTTAGGATTTTATTGTAGCAAAGGGTGCATTTGAGCTCGTGCTCACAAGAGCTTGTTTGCTAAAAACAAACATTTTATGCGAAAATCCTTATCCAAAAGTGATGAGTGGTGACCATGCAGTTACAAGTTGCATAGGTAAATTGATAGTGGTCGACTTGATTCTTTCTGCCAGTGGTAGAAAATAAATTTATTCCCTATGCTGTTATAGCTATGTTTGCCATGTATGAAGAGAAGTTCATGAGACTCGTAAGCATGGTTGCTGGTTTTATCCAAAGGTCAATAGCCCCTTGTCACCATTTTTGTTTGGTCGATCCTGGTTCACCCTAGTTGAGTGAAGCAGGGAGAGAGCGAGAGAAAGGGAATGGTAGAGTGGTCAGCGGTCCCTTTTGACGTATTTTTACCTCAGTTTCTGGTGGAGAAATATCTCAAGAATGCAATTGTAAAGCAACATGTATCTTCCATTGTTTCAAGTTGAGTTATGTGTTTTTATAGTTAATTATACACTTACTAGCTACACTAAATTATCATGCTGGATGATGTATTTCAATCACTTCTAATCCATTGTTCCATACTAAGGATGCTTTGTTTATGATAATCTGGCAATCCCATTTGCCCAACTAGCTATTACCTATTTTATCATTTTGTTAACCAACCTCTTGTTTTCGTGGTTACTTTTGCACAGAAGATTATAAAATATAAGTTCAGCTATTAGCTTCTAGAAGGCTCACTTCTTTGTCCGACGTGTCAAATCAATCCATCAATTGCCATGTATAACACGATCTGTTATCAGCTGGCATGCAGGACCGCAGCAGATCACTGTAGAAAGAAGGGGAAACATATTACAAAGCTAGCCATGAAGTATAGCTTGATGAACAATGAGATTTCTACAGTTCTTGTTGGAATGAACTCTCCAGAACAGGTATTCATTTTGCCCCATTCTGTTGGATCTTCTACGCAACATATTCTTTAAGCATACATTAAAGTATGTATATGTTAAATATCCCATTTCCTTGCCTGAATTTGCCTAAACCTGATGAACCACCTGCTGAGTGCTTAGTCATTGTGTAAAGTAAGTTTGTCTTGATCTACTCAGCTGTGGATGCCCAAGGGAAAAAATATATAATAATTTTTTTAGTTTTAGAAGAGAAAATAATATTGTTCTCATAGGATAATCATGGGAGTAATACTACATTGAACAAAACAGTCTTCGTTGTTTATGTACTAGCTTCTGCCTGTTTTCCAATGCTGCTTCGATTTTTAATGCAGATGAGCCATGTTAATTGTGACCTTTGTTTTTCCAGTAAACATAGACTAATATTTTTTGGACTACTTACTGCTTTATTAACGGGTGTCGGATAGTGTATTTGTTCAAGTTGGAACAATTGCTGAAATACCAGGCCTTATTAGCAAGTAAAAGGTGCATTAAAATTGTGTCCTTATTCTACTAGGAGGAAACAAATAGTAACATGATGTATTCCATAATTATAATAATACAAACATAATGTAACTATTGCCATTGGATGAATGTAAAAATATAATGTATAATGTATTACCACAGGAGGAAGCAAAATGACATTATTTGTACCTTTGATAGATTTCATCATTAAAAACATGCTAGCTTGAAAAGATGACTCTGAAGGAATTATTCATCTTGTGCTTACCTGATTCAAGGTGGAGGAGAATGTTGCTGCTGCAGTGGAGTTGTCGACTTCAGGCATAGATGAAGAACTTTTGCACGAAGTCGAAGCAATTCTAGAACCTGTTAAAAACTTGACCTGGCCCAGTGGTATTCAGCAAGCATAATGTCCGAGTCCGACATTAGCTTGGCCAGATGAGATCCATTGGGATGGATATATGTGTGCTATTAGTAGTTGATAGATAAGAGTCATATGTGTTCATCTGCAGCCTTGCCTGCCTGCCTGTCTTGTGATTGAAATAGGAATATCCAACTATCCTAGGCAACCAAATGGAAGACCGTCGTTTGGAATTTGTGGGCAATGTTGTTGTCTTGAGTAATTTATACGTATATGCCTGGGAGCCGACACTAACAATAAAAGGTGAATGATGATTGATCATTGAATAAATTGTTCGCATATGCCGCCCGTATACATTACATTACGAAGCCTTTTATCCCAAACAAGTTGAGGTAGGCTAGATATGAAACCCTTTCACGAGGACTTCCCAGGAGGTCATCTATCCTAGTACTACTCTCGCCCAAATATATCTAGAAAATCATATGGATACAGCTGCAAGTTGTAGTGTACCGTTGGGGTTTCAGTGATGATGTTGTGTGTATGGGGGTTACAGTGGTTCTGTGTTGGGTGGTCTTGTGGCTCCAATTCGCATGAGTAAGCATGTTTGTGACGTTTCTCGTCCAGTTTTTCATTAATTAACTGGATAACTTTCTTCATCTTAATTGATGGATGAGACAAAAAAATTGCCTCCGTTTTGAAAAAAGAGAGTAAATGAACTATGCAGTGACAGTTTCTTCTTCTTTAGATTGATTCCATTCCAGTTGTCAATAAAAACAGAAAAAACCCTTTGACGGCAAGCGAGTGTTTATGAAGATTCGGAGCTCTACCAAAAGTGAAGTTTCCTCTCTAAACCTACGATCCTATAATTGGATAAATACTGAAGCACTGGATGCAAGAATAGACAGGGCCCAGGGAATCCAGCCGTCAATGGTGACCCAGGGAATCCTTCACCGGCATGTTCGCCCCCATGGCTGCTGATATTATCTGTGGCACCGGCATGTCCGCCGCGCGCGCGACGACCCGCTCCACCACTGCTGATATTATCTGTGGCATCCACTGCCGATATTTATCTGTGGCATCGGCATGCCGCCAGAGAGAACGACCTCTACGGCACGCAGTGGTTGACGGGGACGGTAACGTGACATGGATTGCGTAGCTGTACGGAGGAATGGTGCGTCGCACCGGAGAAGGGACCACGAGTGGAGTGCTTCGACCCCATGGCTTGCCGACGGCGACCCTACCCCACCAGGCATTATTGCCGTCTCATATAAACATGGTATATACTCTCTTCCTCTCAAAATATAAACATGGCATATACAGTACTCTCTTGCTCTCAAAATATAAGACGTTTTCTGACGTTGGGAGTACATTTATATGTCCTTGTACTAGCAACTATTTTAATGTACCATGTGCTCTATCGGCCAAATTCGTGTGCAGCAACATTCTTAGTGTACATCTTTTCACTCTACAACTACGAGTGATATAGTTTTGATTGCTATACTCCCTTCGTCTAGATGTGTAAGTCATCTTAGTTTGCGCACCGTGACCAAGGTGGAAGGGAAAACGAGATAACTTAATGTTTTTTTACTAATTAATAACATTGCATGCAATGAACTAACTACTGCATGTCGTGTTTGGTAGTTTCAAGTCATTTAATGCATGCATGGCCCACATCTCTTAGGCTGGTTGTAATGGGAAGTATCATATACGAGATACTAGTCTATGATATTACATCCCTAATGCATAGTATCATATGTTAGTATCATAGAGGATTACATTTATTGCCATGCATGACACAAAGTAGCACATCATTTAATATGATACGGTATCATGATATGATACTCAAGCCTCTTTTTCTTCATTTAATTCTATGCCACTTCATCAAAATTGCTTAGTTGGCATGCATGATACTACCTATGATACTCCCATTATGGGCAGCCTTATTGGTTGATATGTCACGAAACAAGAAACACGATGAGAGTTAATGTACCGCGCCTAAGTGTTTTAAGATTATTTAATTTTTATAAGATAACTTACACATCTAGATGGAGGGAGTAGTTTTGTGCAAGCTGGGGCTTTGCTACAGCTCACTCGAGAGTCGAGACTCGACCACTGAGAGCAAAATGGGACTTCACGGCGCTCTCTTTGCTACCCTTCCTCTTACTTGGCCCGTATATGTGAATGTTGTGTTGCTTAATAATGTGGATACATCGATAGGCACATATCTCAATGGTGGCTCCGGGGGTTGATAAGGGCATTTTCAACAATCATATGATCATCCTTGGTAAAATTGTCATCTAGACCGTTTTGATGACATAGCACATAATAAAAGAAGAGAGAGAATGAAATTGTATAAACATAAAGCAACCTTCAGGCACAAGCTCCAAGGCAACCTTGTTCATTTCTTCAATATTTAGTGGACCCGTCTGGTTGTTTAACATACGCTTAACATACATCTTACTTTTTTAGCGAGAAAACTTTCGATCTATTCATCTTCAATCATGATAATACAATGAACATCAGAAATAGTAAAAATTACATCCAGGTACGTAGACCACCTAACGACGATTACAAGCACTGAAACAAGCCGAAGGCGCGCCGCTGTCTTCGTCCCTCCATCGTCGGAGCCGGACAAAACTTGTTGTAGTAGACAGTCCGGAAGTCGTCGTCCTAAGGCCCCATAGGACCAGCGCAACAGAACATCAACCGCCGCCGATAAATAGTAGCATAGATCGGAAGAATCCAACCTGAAGAAACACAAACGCAAACGAACTACGACTAGATCAGAGAAAATCCACCAAGGATAAATCTGCCGGAGACACACCTCCACACGCCCATCAAAAATGCTAAACACCACCGAAACGGGGGCTAGGCGAGGAAGACCTTATTTCATCTTCAGGGAACCGTTGTCGTCTTGTCTTTCTGAGCAGGACAGAAACCCTAACAAAACTTAAAGAGACGTATAAAAACGGAGTCCTTCCGCCAGCAAAGGCCGGGATCCACCGCGCCACCATGGCCTTAAGGCCACTAGAGACAGGCAGACCGACGGGGGCGCCGACGGGAGGCGAAGAAACCCTAACCTTTTCTTCAGAAGGAGGCGTCTTTTATTTCACTATTAACATACACCTTATTAAAGAGCATGTACGATGTGTTGTTGACTGCTGATGTGGACACTTATACCATCGACTGAACATACAATCTGTTGTGTTGCAGATGCTTTAAGCAGATATAAGTAGAAAGATGGCTTCCACAACCCTTTTTCGAGATCTCTTCACTCTACTGGTGGCAATATTTTTCTATAATCTGCGTGCAAGCTGGGGCCTTGTCTTCATCAGCTCACTCTACCAGTACCAGCTACCCGATGTTGCCGTTTCTATGGGCTGCCCAATTTATTTATTTATTTTGCAAAAGTTTGCAAATTGTTGGAGACGTTTACATTATGGGACAGAGTATAAAAACAGCTATGCCCTAAAATAGAGCTGCTGTTAGAGACGCTCTTAGGCGAACTACAGCCCCACCATGGCTGTTTGCAGTATTTTCCTTGTCAAGAAATTCAGTGAGTGACCCCGCAAAAAAAAAGAAAAGAAATTCAGTGAGTGAGCGAGCGAGCGCGCGACGCGCTCTGCACCATTTGTTTTCAGCTCTACTCTATCCATGCCCATCTGTATGTACACGATCCACCACGTGCTCTGTCCACCAATTCGCGTACAGCAACCTTTCGGGATAAAAAAAAAAGCAACTTTTTCAGCTAAGATCTCTTCACTCTACCAGTAACTGTGTACTGTAATTTTTTGCTATATTTATGTGCTAGATGGGGCCTCCTTGCCTTCTTCCTCAGCTGCAGCTCTCTCGACCACAATGATAGACTTCACGGCGCTGGTCTCCCTCTTCTTCGTCCTCCTCATCCTCAAGCTGGTCACCGGCCGCTACGCATCGCCCACCCGCGGGCAGCGGCTGCCCCCGGGCCCATGGCAGCTGCCGCTCATCGGCAGCCTGCACCACCTCCTGCTGTCGCGCTCCGGGGGCCTGCCGCACCGGGCCATGCGCGACCTCGCCCGCGCCCACGGCCCGCTCATGCTCCTCCGCCTCGGCGCCGTGCCCACGCTCGCCGTCTCCTCCGCCGAGGCCGCCAGGGAGGTGATGAGGACCCACGACGCCGCCTTCGCCAGCCGCCACCTCAGCGCCACGCTCGACATCATCACCTGCGGCGGCAAGGGCGTCCTCTTCTCCCCCTACGACGACCGCTGGCGCGAGCTCCGCAGGGTCTGCGTGCAGGAGCTCTTCAGCCAGCGCCGCGTGCTCTCCTTCCGCCCCGCCCGGGAGGACGAGGTCGCGCGCCTCCTGCGCGCCGTCTCCGACGGGTGCCGCGGCGGCCGTGCCGTCAACCTCGGCGAGAAGATGTGCCGCATGACCACCGACTCCGTGGTGCGCGCGGCCATAGGCGAGAGGTGCGACCACCGCGACGAGTTCCTTCACGAGCTCGACGTGGCCGTGCGGCTCACCGGCGGCATCAACCTCGCCGACCTGTACCCCTCGTCGCGGCTCGTGCGCCGGCTCAGCGTCGCCGCGCGGGACATGGTCAAGTGCCAGAGGAACATCTACCGCATCGTGCAGAGCATCATAAAAGAACGAGCCGGCGCGCCGGAGCCAGAGAGAGATGAGGACCTGCTCGGCGTCCTCCTCAAGCTGCAGAAGGACGGCGGCCTGCAGTTTGAACTCACCACCGAGATCATCACAGCCGTCATTGTGGTAAAGATATTATGATCATTCCTCAACCATCCTTTATTAGCACGGTTCTGTACTACATCAGTTGATGATCAGTGTGTTAATTAAAGTCCTTGATTTGTCCCATTTCAAATTAGTTTACAACAACAACAACAACAACAACAACAACAACAAAGCCTTTAGTACCAAACAAGTTGAGGTAGACTAGAGGTGAAACCCATAGGATCTCGTGACTATCTCTTCCGATGTGGCGCGTCGATGAGGGGGTTACTCCCCAATGAAAATCTTTTGGGTTTCATCTCCATAAGAGTGACTGAGTTTTTTTCGCCAAGCCTATCACAACCCTCCTCCTTTACCCGGGCTTGGGACCGGCTATGTTGAGACAACATAGACGGAGTTTCATTTGAAACTAGTTTAAGTTTGAACAATATATTAACATCTACAACACCAAATTAGTCTATTGAGATGTTTTATGAAATATATTTCCATAAGATATGTATTTAGTGTTGTAGATCTTAGCACAATTTTCAATATAGATGGTCAATCTCAAGCAACTTTGACTTAAGACCAACCTATAACTTTTATTCTTTAGGAACGGAGGAGGTAATTTTTTAATTAAGTTTGACAACGCCCATTTGTGTGTAACATCAAATGATAAGCAACTGCAGGACATTTTTTCTGCCAGGAGCGAGACATCGTCGACGACCTTAGAGTGGGCCATGTCGGAGCTTATGAGAAACCCACGGGTGCTACATAAGGTGCAGTCGGAGGTGAGAGATGCCTTCAAGGGAAAAGATAAGCTCGCCGAGGAAGACATCGTCAAGGTGAGGCTGGGCTATCTCCACCTAGTGATCAAGGAGGCTCTAAGGCTGCACCCGCCGGGGCCGCTCCTGCTCCCACGGGAGTGTCGCGAGGCATGTCGGGTGATGGGCTACGACGTGCCCAAGGGCACCAAGGTGGTTGTGAACGTGTGGGCGATGGGGAGGGACCACATGTACTGGGGTGACGCGGAGGCATTCAGGCCAGAGAGATTCGAAAACAGCACCATCGACTTCAAGGGAGCCGACTTCGAGTTCCTCCCATTCGGAGCTGGCCGGAGGATGTGCCCCGGCATGTCGCTCGCGATGGCCAACATGGAGTTGTCGCTAGCTAGTCTCCTTTTCCACTTTGATTGGGAGCTGCCCTGTGGCATGAGGCCCGAAGATATGGACATGACAGAGACTTTCGGTATCACAGCGAGAAGGAAGTTCAAGCTCTCGGTGCACGCAAAATCCCACGTCCCATGTGGAAATTGATTTGTTTGTTAATGGCTCAATGCATGTAGGGATGGCGCCTTAATTTGGAATTATATGTATTTTCTGGCCAATACATTTGCGTAGCTGCAAGGTGTCATCATCGTCCTTGTACAGTTGAATACCCTGTTTGAATCTCAGTTGCTGTTGCATATGTATGTCTCATTTATTTCTCTGTCCAAGAGTTTTGATTGCATCTATGGTGAACTCGAGATAGATGCCAAATGTCCACGATTTCATCCAATTAGGTTGCTATGAAATGCACAATGATGGAGGGGCGTGTGTTCGGGTGCACGTGAAGCCCTATGTCCTACGCACAACAGTATTCATCAGCTAGAAAGCTTCTTGGCCACATAAGTTTCCATCTTGTTGTTGATGATTTATAGCGTAGATATGCGGTAACTACTTTAGCAATAGTCATGGAAGAATATATTATGTGAATGTGCATGTATTCAAATGAATGTGCCCACATCATTTAGTTCCAGTTATGCACTTTCCTTTCACAGTTCTTTGGAGCTGGATCATCTTACCTCCCTTGATGTGGACATAGACATCATAGATACGTCTATAAATATTACACGACACATTTTGCAGAATTGATATGATAAAGATTACATAAGCCATCCAACTGCACACGTCCACGAAGCTTAATGTAGTGTGTGTGGGTGTGGGTGGGGGGGGGGGGGCTGTGGCTCCCCAGGCCCCAGCCATGCACAATTCATTGAAGAAGAAAAATTGATAGAGGGCTTAGTTGAAAGAAAACATTGTTGTTTGCCCCCTCAGTTAATGGAAATTGATTTGTTTGTTAATGGCTCAATGCATGTAGGGGTGGCGCCTTAATTTGGAATTATATGTATTTTCTGGCCAATACATTCGCGTAGCTGCAAGGTGTCATCATCGTCCTTGTACAGTTGAATACCCTGTCTGAATCTCAGTTGCTGTTGCATATGTATGTCTCATTTATTTCTCTGTCCAAGAGTTTTGATTGCATCTATGGTGAACTCAAGATAGATGCCAAATGTCCACGATTTCATCCAATTAGGTTGCTATGAAATGCACAATGATGGAGGGGCGTGTGTTCGGGTGCACGTGAAGCCCTATGTCCTACGCACAACGGTATTCATCAGATAGAAAGCTTCTTGGTGAAGGAAATATGCCCTAGAGGCAATAATAAAGTTATTATTTATTTCCTTATTTCATGATAAATGTTTATTATTCATGCTAGAATTGTATTAACCGGAAACATAATACATGTGTGAATACATAGACAAACAGAGTGTCACTAGTATGCCTCTACTTGACTAGCTCGTTAATCGAAGATGGTTATGTTTCCTAACCATAGACATGAGTTGTCATTTGATTAACGGGATCACATCATTAGGAGAATGATGTGATTGACTTGACCCATTCCGTTAGCATAGCACACGATCGTTTAGTATGTTGCTATTGCTTTCTTCATGACTTATACATGTTCCTATGACTATGAGATTATGCAACTCTCGTTTATCAAAGGAACACTTTGTGTGCTACCAAACGTCACAACGTAACTGGGTGATTATAAAGGTGCTCTACAGATGTCTCCGAAGGTACTTGTTGGGTTGGCGTATTTCGAGATTAGGATTTGTCACTCCGATTGTCGGAGAGGTATCTCTGGGCCCACTCAATAATGCACATCACTACAAGCCTTGCAAGCATTGTAACTAATGAGTTAGTTGCAGAATGATGTATTACGGAACGAGTAAAGAGACTTGCCGGTAACGAGATTGAACTAGGTATTGAGACACCGACCATCGAATCTCGGGCAAGTAACATACCGATGACAAAAGGAACAACGTATGTTGTTATGCGGTCTGACCGATAAAGATCTTCGTAGAATATGTGGGAGCCAATATGAGCATCCAGGTTCCGCTATTGGTTATTGACTGGAGACGTGTCTCGGTCATGTCTACATAGTTCTCGAACCCGTAGGGTCTGCATGCTTAAAGTTACGATGACGGTTATATTATGAGTTTATGTGTTTTGATGTACCGAAGGAGTTCGGAGTCCCGGATGAGATCGGGGACATGACGAGGAGTCTCGAAATGGCCGAGACGTAAAAATCGATATATTGGACGACTATATTCGGACATCGGAAAGGTTCCGAGTGATTCGTGTATTTTCGGGAGTACCGGGGAGTTACGGGAATTCGTATTGGGCCTTAATGGGCCATACAGGAAAGAAGAGAAAGGCCTCAAAGGTTGGCCGCACCCCTCCCCATGGGCTGGTCCGAATTGGACTAGGGAGGGGGGGGGGGGTGCCCCCTTCCTTTCTTCTCGTTTTCCCTTCCCTCCTACTCCTACTACCTGGAAGGGCTCCTAGTTCTACTAGGAAAGGGGGAATCCTACTCCCGGTGGGAGTAGGACTCCCCTAGGGCGCGCCATAGAGAGGACCGGCCCTCCCCCTCCTCCACTCCTTTATATACGGGGGCAGGGGGGCACCCCAGAGACAACAATTGATCATTGATCTCTTAGCCGTGTGCGGTGCCCCCTCCACCATAGTCCACCTCGATAATACTGTAGCGGTGCTTAGGCAAAGCCCTGTGTCAGTAGAACATCAACATCGTCACCACGCCGTCGTGCTGATGAAACTCTCCCTCAACACTCGGCTGGATCGGAGTTTGAGGGACGTCATCGGGCTGAACGTGTGCTGAACTCGGAGGTGCCGTATGTTCGGTACTTGATCGGTCGGATCGTGAAGACGTACGACTACATCAACCGCGTTATACTAACGCTTCCGCTTTCGGTCTACGAGGATACATGGACAACACTCTCCCCTCTCGTTGCTATGCATCACCATGATCTTGCGTGTGCGTAGGAAATTTTTGATATTACTACATTCCCCAACAGTGGTATCAGAGCCAGGTTTTATGCGTTGATGTTATATGCACGTGTAGAACACAAGTGAGTTGTGGGCGATATAAGTCATACTGCTTACCAGCATGTCATACTTTGGTTCGGCGGTATTGTTGGATGAAGCGGCCCGGACCGCCGTGCTTTGCACACAGGTGACTAGTAGGTGTCAGTTTCTCCAACTTTAGTTGAACCGAGTGTGACTACGCCCGGTCCTTGAGAAGGTTAAAACATGACTAACTTGACGAACTATCGTTGTGGTTTTGATGCGTAGGTAAGAATGGTTCTTGCTCAGCCCGTAGCAGCCACGTAAAACTTGCAACAACAAAGTAGAGGACGCCTAACTTGTTTTTGCAGGGCTTGTTGTGATGTGATATGGTCAAGACATGATGAGATATAAGTTGTTGTATGAGATGATCATGTTTTGTTGAAGTTATCGGCAACTGGCAGAAGCCTTATGGTTGTCTCTTTATTGCATAAGATGCAAGCACCAACTAATTGCTTTACTTTATCGCTATGCGATAGCAATAGTTGCAAGAGCAATAGTTGGCGAGATGACCATGTGATGACACATTGATATAGATCAAGATGATGGAGATCATGGTGTCATGCCAGTGACGATGGAGATCATGACGATGCTTTGGAGATGGAGATCAAAGGCACAATATGATGATGGCCATATCATGTCACATATTTTGATTGCATGTGATGTTTATCTTTTATACATCTTATTTTCTTAGTTCGACGGTAGCTTTATAAGATGATCCCTTACTAAAATTTCAAGGTATAAGTGTTCTCCCTGAGTATGCACCATTGCCAAAGTTCGTCGTGCCCAGACACCACGTGATGATCGGGTGTGATAAGCTCTACATCCATCTACAATGGGTGCAAGCCAGTTTTACACACGCAGAATACTCAGATTAAACTCGACAAGCCTAGCATATGCAGATATGGCCTCGGAACACTGAGACCGAAAGGTCGAGCGTGAATCATATAGTAGATATGATCAACATAGTGATGTTCACAATCGAAACTACTCCATCTCACGTGATGATCGGACATGGTTTAGTTGATTTGGATCACGTGAGCACTTAGATGATTAGAGGGATGTCTATCTAAGTGGGAGTTCTTACGTAATCTGATTAATTGAACTTTAATTTATCATGAACTTAGTCCTGGTAGTATTAGCATATCTATGTTGTAGATGAATATCTCGTGTTTATCTCCTCTGTTTATTTTGATATGTTCCTAGAGAAAAACTATGTTGAAAGATGTTAGTAGCAATGATGCGGACTTGGTCCGTGATCTGAGGATTATCCTCATTGCTGCACAGAAGAATTATGTCCTTGATGCACCTATTGCAGGAGCAGATGCAGACATTGTGAATGTTTGGCTAGCTCAATATGATGACTACTTGATAGTTTAGTGCATCATGCTTAACGGCTTAGAATCGGGACTTCAAAGACGTTTTGAACGCCATGGACCATATGAGATGTTCCAGGAGTTGAAGTTAATATTTCAAGCAAATACCCGAGTTGAGAGATATGAAGTCTCCAACAAGTTCTATAGCTAAAAGATGGAGGAGAATAGCTCAAACAGTGAGCAGGTGCTCAGATTGTCTGGGTACTACAATCGCTTGAATCAAGTGGGAGTTAATCTTCCAGATAAGATAGTGATTGACAGAATTCTCTAGTCACCATCACCAAGTTAGTAGAACTTCGTGATGAACTATAATAGGCAAGGGATAACGGAAACGACTCCCAAGCTCTTCATGATGCTGAAATCAACGAAGGTAGAAATCAAGAAAAACATCAAGTGTTGATGGTTGACAAGACCACTAGTTTCAAGAAAAGGGAAAAGGGAAGAAGGGGAACTTTAAGAAGAACGGCAAGCAAGTTGCTGCTCAAGTAAAGAAGCCCAAGTCTGGTCCTGAGCCTGAGACTAAGTGCTTCTACTACAAAGGGACTGGTCACTGGAAGTGGAACTGCCCCAAGTATTTGGCGGATAAGAAGGATGGCAAAAGTGAACAAAGATATATTGGATATACATGTTATTGATGTGTACTTTACTAGTGTTTATAGCAACCCCTCGGCATTTGATACTGGTTCAGTTGCT